AAATAATTTTAAACAGTAACAGTAAGTCCAAAGCAGTGTATTTTTTTTACTTTCAAAGTAATTGTAAGCATTAATCACAACAAAATTACATGAAAACTGCAGACATGGCTTGATTTAGTCTGTACATGAGCAATAATGAAAAGTGCAACAGCCCTGACACCCCCTTAAGCTGTAATTTTCAAACTAAATCAATGATTACAGAGGACCAGAAAAAACATAACAACACTGAAGTGAATTAGTACGTGAAAACTTGTTAACCATGTTTTTTACTGTTGTCATTTTCTAATGGTACAGTTTATTTATGTATTTGTTATAAAAAGGGGTATTTGAAGATCAATATATCATAATATCTATATCTCAATAATATCCAACCATCACAGGGACATAGACTTTGAGATTTTGGATAAAACCACTAGGAATCCTGAACTTTTCTGAATATTTTTGGTTGGATGTAGTCGAGATTTTGGATGAACCTGCTAAGAATCCTAAACTTTTCTTGCCCAACATATCCCAGTGAGATCCTTTTATAATATCTCTCATGAACAGACTTCAATTTTAAATATATAATTTGTTTTCATTGCTTCTCCTTTTCAAAATTTTAAATATATTTTTTTCAAATTGTCTTATTTCCTGCACCAAACTTTGAGCCTTATACACCATATCATTATTATGGTTTAATAGTTTTGATTATATTTAAAAATTCAGGTTAATGTCTGTGACGTTATTTGGTTTGGGTCTATGTGCAATTTGCACAATTGTTGAAAATTGAGATTTTCTGTTAATTAAAGTGTTTTACATGCACAACATAGGGAATAAACTGAGTCATTCTTAATTTTTGATCATATGTATGAATGTATGGGAGTTGTAGATGCACCACATTAGACGTGACCAATATATTATTGAAACAGATTACATGCCTTTGTCTGCCATGTTTTTAACCAGGTTTTCCGAAGGAAAAAACTGGTTATTAGATTGAGGTATGTCGGCGGGCGGGCGGATGGGCGGACGGGCGGGCGGGCGTAAACAATTTCTTCCGTGCGCAACTCCTCCTACATTTCTCAATGGATTTTGACCAAACTTTCACAGAAGCTTTGTCATCAAGTGCCCTGGGGCATAATGTCAGGGATTTGTGATTGGATAATATTTAACGAAATTATGGCCCTTTGTTTTTTTTTTTATATAGAATATAAAGTGAACAATTTCTTCTGTGCGCAACTCCTCCTACATTTCTCAACGGATTTTGACCAAACTTCTCAGAAGCTTTGTCATCAAGTGCCCTGACACATATTGTCAGGGTTTTGCAATTGGTATATATTTGACCTAATTAATGGCCCTTTGTTTTTTTTCATTATATAGAATTATATAGTGAACAATTTCTTCTGTGCGCAACTCCTCCTACATTTCTCAACGGATTTTGACCAAACTTTCTCAGAAGCTTTGTCATCAAGTGCCCTGACACATATTGTCAGGGTTTTGCAATTGGTATATATTTGACCTAATTATGGCCCTTTGTTTTTTTTCATTATATAGAATTATATAGTGAACAATTTCTTCTGTGCCCAACTCCTCCTACATTTCTCAACAGATTTTGACCAAACTTTCACAGAAGCTTTGTCATCAAGTGCCCTGGCGCATATTGCCGGGGTTTTGCGATTAGATAATATTTGACCTAATTATGGCCCTTTGTTTTTTTTCCTTATATAGAATATATAGTGAACAATTTCTACAGTGCGCAACTTCTCCTACATTTCTCAACGGATTTTGACCAAACTTTCACAGAAGCTTTGTCATCAAGTGCCCTGGCGCATTTTGTCAGGGTTTTGTGATTGGATAATATTTGACCTTATTATGGCCCTTTGTTTTTTTTCCTTATACAGAATTGAACAAATTCTTCCGTGCTGAACTCTTCCTACATTTCTCAACGGATTTTGTTCAAACTTTCACAGAAGCTTTGTCATCAAGTGCCCTATCACATATTATCGGGGTTTTGTGATTGGATAATTTTTTACCTAATTATGGCCCTTTGTTTTTTTCCTTATACAGAATATATATAGTGAACACTTCTTCTGTGCGCAATTCCTCCTACATTATTCATGTTTTACATTGCACATAGTTACATTGTTTGTTGCTTGTATTTGTATTTCAAATACAACATATTTATCTACAATGGTGATAATTGAAAACCTGGTTTCATGGCATTGCCATGTTTCTTGTTATAGAAATTTAAAGAGAAAAGATAAACCAATGTTAGCAATTCAAGGCTATAAACAGTGAAATTGCAGTTATCACATTTTTGTAATACAGTTGTCCTTTTATAATGCAATACTTATATAATGCAATAAGAATGTTCTTTTAAGCAAGTTTTATCTTTATTTTCATAATAAATAATTGAGTCAACAATTGAAAAAAATTTACTAGCTGTCATCGATAGAAATGATATTGATGTATTGTTGATATTTTTCTGTTGATCAGTACACATTTTAGAAAATCAAGATTTTTGATTTAATAATTGAATGTCTAGAAATTATGAAAATTCAACAAAAACATATGCATAAGAATATTTTATAGCAGTGATTGACAAAAAAAATTTATGAAAAGACCATGTTTTTTCTGAAAGCATTTAAACAATTATGGAAAAAATTAGATACAAGTAGATAATACTTAAAGTATGTAATTATCAATATATCTGTGTATCATCAATATTTTCATCTTAAATTTTTTTGCTTTCCAACAAATCAATGACAGCTCTAATATTACTTGAATCATTTAAAAAAAAAATCAAAATTTGAATACTGAAAAATTCCTAGCTATATTGTTGTCGTCAAATTAAAAATAAAACATTTTTAAATGTTAGTTTCCTAAAGTAGATTTATATATAAAATTTGTATTTTAGAAATAATTTTGCTATTTAATAATGCAATAGTGGAAATTTTTAATGCAGTTACAATACTTTTTGCATCAAATAATTTCAACTTATCTGTAAAAAACATTGGCGCAAAAACTCATGTAAGTGTACTTACTGTAGTTTTTGCACCGACAAATTCTGAAGCTGCACTTACGTTTTTTATTTTTATGCCAAAAAAGTCATTTTTTATCAAAATATAGTTTCTAAACTTCGGAGACTGGTGAAACTTTGTATTTCTAACCAAATAATGACAAAAAGTGATTTTCTCAAAAAATGTCAGTTACATGACTTTTTGCTCCAAGGTGACGATTTAAGGTTTATATATACCTACAGTGAAACATCTACAGAAAGGCCCTCTGTATAGCAGTAACCTCTTTCTAAGGACAATGTGAATTGTTCCCAAAGTTAATAATGAATTTATCTGCTGAAGTGCAACATCACTCAGGGCGTCATTGGCCGAGTGATTACTATCGTTGACTTCAAACCACTTGCCTTTCACCACTGTGGGTTTGAATCCTAAAAGGGACTTTGGATCCTATCAAGTGAGGAAGCTGTCAAGCTAGCTTATGGAAGCGTTGGTTCTACTCAGGTGCCCGTTTGTGCCTGAAATAATGCATGGAAGGACACCTGAGGTCTTTCTCTGCCAGTAAAGCTGGAAATGTCGCCATATGATCAGTACTGTGTTGTTGTGATGTAAAACCTAATCAAACAAACAGCTACACCACTCAGCAACATCAAAATCTGTGTCTCCTATATGGTGTGATCTGAAGAGATTGTACATTGTACAATACATTGTTTCGTCTTTAAAATTTTAGAAAATGATTTTTTGTGTGTTTTTTTTTTCCTATTCAAGAAACATGTCAGGTTACTTGATTCCCATGAGATAAACATTGAGGTGAAGTTGTTTTTTTTAAAGGCAGCTTTTCTAGCTTCAAGATATATTAATTTTGTAAACTGACATACTTCCTTCTTATTTATTTTTTTGTTTATTTTACCCTGACATTGTGTAGAATTAGTTTCTATAAAAATATACGTAGCATTTTCATTTTGTGTGTGTGTTTTTTTCATTTTTACCAAATGTGTAGCCTTTTGTATAAATCTAAAACATTTTTCATACTTTATCTTGAAGAAGGACTTTTGCTTGTAAACATTATATTCTTTCCAAGAAGTCATTTTAAATGATGTTATTTCAGTACAAATGTAATTGTGTTTTATGTGTCAAGCAAATTAGTAGAATTATTGGAAAAATTTAGAAAAGACAATCAATTTATCTTTAAATGATCAATTAATCTCAAATACAGTAGAACTTCTATGAGTCGAACTTCGATTAGTCGATTTTCTCGATGTGTCGAAGTAAAATGAAAGTCCCGATTTTTTCTCTTATATATTCCATATAAAAACCTATTTATGAGTCGAGATTTTATGTGTCGAATTTTTCGATGTGTCGAAGTTTTTTCATGGTCCGTATAGAATAAATCTAGTACAATTTACCACAAATAAGTCGAAGTCCTTCGATTATTTTGATACCTTCGATCTCGAGACATTTTTCACACCTTTTCTTGCCGCGAAGACGATTTCCGATCAACTTAACTGACACGTGTCAATTACACAGCCAAGTGTTCAAACAACCTTTGAATGCATTTAAATGTGTGAAAAAATGCTTTAATCGTTACTAATTTAATTGCCGTAGCGGTATTTGAAAGTACATGTAAACAGTAAGAACAAACATACTTTGTGACCCGGTGTCGCGTGTTAATCACACGCTAAAATATTTACTATAAGCTGGTTAAGTTATTGCCCTTTCGAATTGTTACGCCTTTTGTAACTTCTTGTATACGTCAACAGGTAGTTCAAATCATAAGCCGTGAAAAAGTAATTAACATGTCATATTTATCATTGCATAAAGTAAAATATCAGATTAATAAATGAAAGAAAACATGAAATAGGTTACGTTATATATCTTATAATTAGGGCTAGTCACAGATTGAAATTTTGTCATGGAATTCAGAACGATTCATGAGTCGAAGTCCCGATGTGTCGAAGTCTTTACGAAAGTCCCTCCAACTTCGACTTACCGAAGTTCTACTGTACTTGCAAAATAAATGTTTCATGTTAGTGATTTGCTATTCTGACAATTTGAATTAACTCCCTTTTAGACAGAAAAAAATATCAAGAAGATTATTTTTTCTTATCAAGCTACTGTCTTTTGATCGGAAAAATATTGTCATTTTTTATAATAAATTTCATGTTAGAAACTGATCTATACCTAAGAGTAAAGACGACTGTAAAATCGTTAATATCATATGCATGATAAGATAACTCTTACAAAGATTGATTTCTTTACTCAGGTAACAGTTGTTTCCCCTTTTACAACAAGTTCTATACAGTGTATATGTTACTGTAATAAATTGTGGTTTAACTTGTACTTATACAGTCAACATCTGCCAGTTACAAATATTTTGCCTGTAACATTTTAAATCAGTTTACATGACTTAGTGAATGTTTGTTTCTTGTAAGACATTGAAAAAAAAATTGTTTTTTGTTATTTGTAGCCTACTCTGAGATGTCAAGTGATAGATTTTGTACATAGCGTTCGACATCTGACCAACGAAACAAGTATATTCCTAGCTGATAAAGCTCCGGAGCTGGTAAGTATAAAGGCATTTGTTTAAAGGCCCATACTCAGAAATGGTTTTATTTTTTTCATTTCCCTAAAGCTTTTTAATTTTTGTGTACTTTAGTAGTATCCAAAAGGTTACTCTTTGTCTAGTTACATGAAAAATGTATTTCGTTAGATAAGTACAGTTATAGTGAATTAGTATTTTGTTTGGAAGTTTTATGAGATATTATTTTACAAATATGGGTACTTTTTACAAGTTAAAATATCAGTGGCATTTATCGTACATTCTCTAAAACCATTATAAAATTTATGTTTACTAATTCCAAAGAAGTAAAGATTTATTTCTTTCTGAGGCATAATGTGCCTTTAAAAAATATTATTAGGATCACCAATTTACCATCACAACCTTTAAAATTATATTATTAAAATCACAATTTTACCACTTAGTTTGCTAAATTACTTAACAAAGACATTATTTATTAGATATAGTGCTCGTAAAATTTTTGTCATGACTCTTTGTTAAAGTTATAATAAAAGCATTAATTTAATTTAAATTTAGTAGTAGTATTAGTAATAGTAATAAAAGTATTTGTGATAATAGCACTTTTGAATTTTAATCAACTTAGTTATGAAATTATTTATAAATAGCAGAGCATTGAATCTTGAGAATTCAGTAAACATTTTGTTTTTACAGAGGATAAGGCTAGACATTGAGGAGAAACTAAATCATTCCCTGTCTCAAGTTGAGGAGGAGACAAAACAAGTGATGGAAATGTGCAATATTCCCTCTGCACCAATATCTCAGGAAGAGGTAAGTTAAATTGTGCATCTTATGCCAATCTCAAGATGAGATAAATACTTAAAAAAGGCTAGTTAAAAATTCCTCTACACTTATATCTTTGGAAAAAGGCTAGTTAAATATTCCCTCTACATTTATATCTTTGGAAAAGGCTAGTTAAATATTCCCTCTACACTTATATCTTTGGAAAAGGCTAGTTAAAAATCCCTCTTCACTTATATCTTTGGAAAAAGGCTAGTTAAATATTCCCTCTACACTTATATCTTTGGAAAAGGCTAGTTAAATATTCCCTCTACACTTATATCTTTGGAAAAGGCTAGTTAAATATTCCCTCTACACTTACATCTTTGGAAAAATCTAGTTAAATATTCCCTCTACACTTACATCTTTGGAAAAGACTAGTAAATTATTCCCTCTACACTTATATCTTTGGAAAAGGCTAGTTGAATATTCCCTCTACACTTATATCTTTGGAAAAGTCTAGTTGAATATTCCCTCTACACTTATATCTTTGGAAAAGGCTAGTAAATTATTCCCTCTACACTTATATCTTTGGAAAAGGCTAGTTGAATATTCCCTCTACACTTATATCTTTGGAAAATATTTGTTCTGTTCAATTGTATATTAGTCCTATAGACCATCAGCATCTTAATGTCAGGAAGAAATAAAACAGTTTTATCACAGTTACCACTCTGTCTGTATATCCATATGAAAAAATATTGTAGTCATCCTCAAAAAAGGTTATTTGACAATACTTTTAACAAATGGATTTCTAGTTAAATTATTGGTAATAGTTTAGAATTGTGATTGAACGCTTTTTTTTAAATCACTTTTTTGCCAATGACATGCATGTAACACAAAAAAAAAGTATAATGCAATACTCTTATTCTTGTCCTTTTGGCTAAATTTTTCTGAGAAACTTGTTCCCCAGCGTTGATTCTAATGGTCATTTGTCTTTCACTGGTGATTGAGATGTCATGTGAATTTAATAGTTGGCCACCTGTGGAGAAAATGGTAATTACAGGTGAGTTATCCAGGAAAGCCGGTAAAGCTGGATCAGCTGCCATGATAAGACCAAATGTATTAAAATCTGTGAAAGTAAATAAAAAAAAAGGTATTTTTGGATATGATTTGTATGAAAATTATTTGTGTTACAGTTGCTGGCAAGTGTAGAGATGAAACCAAGACCAAAGCCAGGGAAGTTTAAACAGGTGGTTAGTAAACTGAAAGGCAAGAAGGATAAAGAGAAACCTTACATTCCATTATGTAAGCATTTCTATCAAATGTATCCCTAGTATTTTATCATGTATCAGAAGTGTTTTATCATGTATCCGTAGTATTTTATCATGTATTGGTAGTGTTTAAATGTGTATCGGTAGTGTTTTATCATGTATCAGTAATGTTTTATTGTGTATTGGTAGTGTTTTATCATGTATCAGAAGTGTTTTATCATGTATCCGTAGTATTTTATCATGTATTGGTAGTGTTTAAATGTGTATCGGTAGTGTTTTATCTTGTATCAGTAATGTTTTATTGTGTATTGGTAGTGTTTTATCATGTATCAGAAGTGTTTTATCATGTATCCGTAGTATTTTATCATGTATTGGTAGTGTTTAAATGTGTATCGGTAGTGTTTTATCATGTATCAGAAGTGTTTTATCATGTATCCGTAGTATTTTATCATGTATTGGTAGTGTTTAAATGTGTATCGGTAGTGTTTTATCTTGTATCAGTAATGTTTTATTGTGTATTGGTAGTGTTTTATCATGTATCAGTAGTGTTTTATCATGTATCCGTAGTATTTTATCATGTATTGGTAGTGTTTAAATGTGTATCGGTAGTGTTTTATCTTGTATCAGTAATGTTTTATTGTGTATTGGTAGTGTTTTATCATGTATCAGAAGTGTTTTATCATGTATCCGTAGTATTTTATCATGTATTGGTAGTGTTTTAAATGTGTATTGGTAGTGTTTTATCATGTATCAGAAGTGTTTTATC